ATATAAACACATGTTAATTTCAGGTTTGACACAATCACGTGCATGTTTTAGCTTTCTGGGGACATTAAAATGGTTAATAATAACTTGTATTTTTGTATTTTCAGGCTTTTAAGGACACCGGTAAGGCACCTGTTGAGACCGAGGTCGCCATTCATCGCATCCGCATCACCCTCACCAGCCGTAACGTCAAATCTCTGGAGAAAGGTGACAGAACTTTTCATTTTGTGTTGAGGTTGAAAAACTGAGCAGTGAGGATAAAGATTTGTCAACAATGAACCGTGGTGACTGTTAATACGCTATTCTGAGCCAGAACCTCAGAGTTTTACAAGACTGTCTGACTGGTTTTGTGTATTTATGACTTTTATTTTGTTTGTTTTCCTGACAGTCTGCGCAGACCTGATCCGCGGCGCCAAGGAGAAGAGCCTGAAGGTGAAGGGACCGGTCCGCATGCCAACCAAGGTACTGRTGATAAGTCACTGTTTGAACGTTGCTGCTGTCAGTCAGGGAGGCTGGATGATTGAAACTTATTGTTTCCCTCTTCAGACTCTGCGCATCACCACCAGGAAGACCCCCTGCGGTGAAGGGTCCAAGACCTGGGATCGCTTCCAGATGAGGATCCACAAGCGCCTCATCGACCTGCACAGCCCGTCTGAGATCGTCAAGCAGATCACCTCCATCAGCATYGAGCCGGGCGTGGAGGTGGAGGTCACCATCGCTGATGCGTAAACAAGTGTCAGGTTTTCAATAAAGAGCTGAGAAAAACAAACTCCAGCTGGTTTGTCTTTTATTTTAAAAAGTCTTTTATACATTGGACAAAAGTTAAAAATACCAAATTATTTAGGAAAAGTTAAATAACCATTCTTTACAGCAATGCATATCACCCACCATTAAACAACTGTTTCCAGAGTATGTGCTGTGAAAGCCCAGAATTTTAGCTAATAAAGCAGCAAAACAGCTAAAGTTAGCATAAAAATAAGCTAAATGTAGCAGACTCAAGTTGAAAGTAGCACCCGGATGGTGAAATGGTTGTAAAAAATCTCAAAATTAGTAGAAAAATACTGTTTGAAACCACCGAAGCGTGATCTTTTGAAGTAAAATAGGAAAAACAGCCGAAGTTTTCAGTAAAACAGCTAAAAAGTAGCTGGAAATTTTTTGAATTGGCATCAGGATGCATAAGGAGCCCAAGTTTGCTGAGTTTAGCAGAATAAATTTGTGTAATTAGCTTAGAAAGCTAATGTAGGGTTCACCCCCACACACTTCTTATAACRAGGTTATAAGGAATTTATTTTAGCAAGGATCACATATTTTGGTAATATCTTCAAATAAAAATAAATGGACAAAACACAAGATGAGCGTACTCAGTGAATTCAAGTTGATTAAAAATAAGATCATTATTTATTTACAGAATCAAATAAATCGCTAATGTACAGTTTATTGTGAGATTAATTTCCTATGAAAAGTTTAACAAACTTTGAGGTTTAGATGTTAATAAACCACTTGTTTGTGGCACTTTTTCTTAAGTTTAAGAGGGAAGAAAGGAGGATGAGGAGTGTTTAATTAGTTTAACATTAACCTTTAAAGAATGTGGACTGTAACCAGAAAGGGCGGACATCTCAAAGAATCCAGCCAGACCTCAGGTACGCTTAGTAACGGTCAGCCATTACCTTGACCGGGGAACACCACGGCTCAAGTCGGAGGAAAGGTTTTCTAATGGGTGAAGAACTTCGTCGGTCGGACAGGACACTTTCAAGGCATTTCACGTTACTCCTTCAGCGTTTTCTCTGGGCTGCTTTGCTCGAAGATCAGAGAAGAAGCACTTTTGGCATTTGATTTGATTTGATTTGATTTGATTTG